GTGCTCGCTGGAACTGGTCAGAGAGGTTCAGAGGACAAAGGCTTTCAGAAGTATTGGAGAGTCGTCGGACCACCCATAGGCACTTTCTAGGGCACTTCCGATCCCTCTCTTGGCCATCAGGACCCACTAAGGACCTGGAGTCTATGGTTGCCTAGAAACGGCCCGTACCCACCCTCCCTCGTTCCCTCCCTTAACCTGCCGCCTCCGACTTCCCCGAGAGTATTTCCGGTTCCGGCTGTGGGCCGGAGAAGACATGGCGGCGTCTGCGTCGGCAGCTGCCGGGGAGGAGGACTGGTAACTTTGGGGGCATGGGCTTTGGCTGGCCGCCTGGATCCGGTCCGGGGGACTGGCAGTGGCCGCGGACGGTCCGTATGGCGGGCGCGTGGGGCGGAGCGAGGGATAAGGGATTGCAGAGACGCTGACATGTCTCAGAGAGCTTCTGCACTGGGGAGCGGGAGGTGGAGGGGCGCTGATCTGATGGAGAGGAGACAGGATCTGCGCCGCCCAGGCCAGCTCGGGCTGCGCCTTGTCTGGCTCGATCCTCTCTTCTCCCTTGAAGTGGATTTGCCCAGGGTCCCATGCCTGTTTATCAACACACACACACACACACACACACACACACACACACCGCCGCTTTTTACTTCCCAGAATGATGTCCTCCAGCTCACGTCCCTCTTTCCCCTTGGATCAGCCTAGTTCCGCCGAGGCTTTCCTCGACCTTCTCCCTCCCCGCCAGCACTAATGAGGACTATTGTCTGAATAAAGCTTTACACCTCACAAAATGCTCTCCTAGTCCTTCTCTCTCTCAAACGTTCTCAACAAGAGACCAAAACCTGGAAGGACTCTGGGATTTGGAAATAAGATAAATGTGGGTTCACTCCGCATTTTATTAGCTGGGTGATGCTAACCAGGCCACCTAGCTTCTGTGAGTCAGTGTACTCAGATGTAAAAAAGTGGGTGTGGCATCTACCTCATAGAATAGTTGAGAGGATCACGATGGATTTGTAACCTATATAAAAGCCTTCTTTTCATTAATAACTGAGGTGTGGGCACTAGATGGGGCATCTAGTGGGACTAGATGAGGCCTGAAGAGGCAAATCGGTTTGCTAAAAAGGTACATAGTTATGACTAGGAATCCAAGTTATCTGACTCCAAATCTTATGTTTTTAGGACTAGCACTCTTATGATCTCCCCCGCCCTTTTTTTTTTGGCCACCACCTTACCACCATCCCATCCCATCCCTCACATCCAGGGCAAGTCACAGCTATGGTGGGGTGAAGTATTGAAGGGCCTCTTAATGGAGGTTACACGTCAGTGTTTCATTGGTTCAGGGAGCCCAGCCTGTGTTGGCCTTTATTGAGACCATCTAGGCTCATGGTTTTTCAACCCTCTTCAGGGGAACTTTAAGATTTGGAGGAGACACTTTGAGCCATGGAAAGGGTAGCAGTGGTTGCACAGCTGGCTTGTGATGCTCTGAGACTCCCATACTCATGTCAACCAAAGTACTCCACTGTTACCTATTTTATATTTTGAGGCCTGTAAGACTTAAAAAGAAAGTTTGAGAGCCAGTAATATATAGGTCATGCTAGGGCAGACCTGCTCTTGATGAAGAGGTAACAATAACTATAGAAAGGAAACCAAGAATGCATTTTTACATGCATTGCCTGGGTAGAGCTACGGACTCAACCCAGCCACTCATCTTCAATGGCATTACAACTGCTGTTTCTAGGATTAAATATGTATGTCCTCTCATTTACATTTGACCACCAGATCCTGACCTAAACAGGTTGATCTAGATCAGCCAAACAACAAGGGTCATGAATACATTGAATATTAACTACATCCTTCCTTCTTTCAAGGGAGAAAGTTATATACCAATAGGAGAAAAGAGGACATAGACTAGCTACTGTGGCCAAGATATTGTTAAATACTTTACATAAATAACCTTTTATTCTCTAACCCTAGAGAGTAGGTGGTATTATATATGGTAGGTTGACTCAAGCTTACAGAGATAATTACTCAGATCATGTAACTGGTAAGTGACTGGTACCTGTTACTCCAAAGTTGGTGGCTCTTTTGTATCATGGCCTTTATCTCTTTTTCTTGGTATCTCTTTTTGAATAGGCTTAGGGTGACTGATACTGGCAGTATGTGTAGACCCTGGGACCCATGTGAACAGTGGTGTAGGGAAATCCAGGAGCGGTATTGGTAATCAATGGACGTGATATTTCTGGGTCAGATAGATGGCCAATCAACAGTGCGATGGAACTTAAAAAGGAGGTCAGGGAACCTGGCTCTGGTTCTAGTTCTGCCTCTGTTAAACTTTGACATTTGAGCTAGTTATTTCACCTTCCTGGGAATCCATTTCCTCAACTGTTGACAGAGTAACTTCCATGCTTCCTTCCTGGCCACTTGACAGCTTAAAACATATTTCCCCCATTTTTATGGAGGTTAGCAAGAGAATGCACTCAGGTAGAGTGCCAGTTTTCTACAAAGCCAGCCTTCATTGGCTTTAGCAGGCTTTAGCAGGGAGAGCTGTAATGGTGAGTCAATCTCCCCCTGTCTCTCTAGGGTACTTCCCTCTGAAGTCGAGGTGTTAGAGTCTATCTATCTGGATGAACTACAGGTGGTTAAAGGAAATGGAAGGTACGTATTCAACTAGAGGTGGGCAGGAGTCCCCTTAGTAATGAGAGGATTCCGTGGAGAATCCATGAGCCTTGATCCAGAGAAAATGTTGCTCTCCTGGAGACAAAGACTATTCCTTTAATCTCCAAAAGAAAGAGCCCAGTGCTCACTTCCTCCACCCACTTTACTGTCTCACCTCCATTTTCCCCAGTCCTCAAACTCCTGCCTAGTCACATCCCAGGTCCCCACTTTATCCATTTGCAGATCTTCACCATGGGAAATCTACATTACCCTGCACCCTGCCACGGCAGAAGATCAGGATTCACAGTATGTCTGCTTCACTCTGGTGCTTCAGGTCCCAGCACAGGTGAGGCCCCTACTTTATGGTAGCAAAGAGAGGAAGGGGAGAGGCCCTGAGGTGGAGTGCTTTAGCAGTAACTTGTTATTCTCTCCCACTAGTACCCCAATGAGGTGCCACAGATCTCTATCCGTAACCCCCGAGGACTCTCAGATGAACAGATCCACAAGTAAGTTGGACAGTTCAGAGGAGGGAAAAGGAGATACAGCTCAGTCTGGTGAGGGGAGGGGGCAGGCCTAATGTTTGCTTTGCCCTTTTTAGGATTTCGCAGGCACTGAGCCATGTGGCCAATGCTGGGCTGGGTACTGCCATGCTCTATGAACTCATCGAGGTAAGAGGTGTCCTGGCTTGGGAAACTGCTAGAGCAGTTTCTCTCAAGGGAGGTAATGGGCCTAGAATCTTAAATATGTCTGGAGTCATTAATTTAGTCCTTGTTTAGGTAAGGCCTAAATCCAGAAAAATAAGGTTTTCTTCTGTTTCTGAGAATACCCCCCCCCCAAAAAAAAGACAGTTCTGTAGCTTCCCCAAGTTGCCTATGGCAGTATCTTGAAAATTACTTTTTCTCTTTAACTTGGATTTTTTTTATTCCATTTCAGTGCATTCTCTTGGCATTGGTGGCTGAAAGTAGCAAGAGATAGGGGCCTTGCTTAGAGGATCTAGCCACAAATGAACATTTGAAGGCTCACCTGCCCTTGGAACTGACTGAGAAAATCATGGTTCAGAGTTTCTACCCCGATGAAATTAACAACACACAGGGAACACATAGAGCTACACGTTCACATACACAGATAATTTCTGTTACTTGAGATTAAAAACACACAATAAGTACGGTCTTGTTTTCCTTAACTTCGAGTTTTGAGAAAAAATGTTTAGAAGAGAATGAAGGTGGGCGGCCCAGAGTCAGAGAGTGGGCTTAGACCATTGTAGTGCTCCTGAGCCCGGCCTCCACAATGCCACTTTGAACTTTGCAGAATTCCAGAGTATTAGCTATTCAGACAGCAGTGCAGATGTGTTAGTTCATTGCCTAACTTGATGCCTGAGTTCTCTGTCTGTTTGGGTTGTCCATGCTTTGACTTTCTTTCTGAAGGCTGACTCCAGAACAGACTTTTGGGTGGGAGTGATACTCAGAGAGGTTTAACCTAGGAACACCTCCCAGAAGATACGTTTTAACTGAACATTTTGTTCTCTGAAGGTGTATTACTTTCATCCCCGAGACATATTAAAAGTGATTTAATGAGTGGAAAAATAATGAAATTGGATTTTGCAGCTGGGTAGATTCTGGGGGATGGGCGGGGCCATGGAGGATTGATTCCTCCCTTGGTGAATCCTCCCTTCCTCACCAAGACAGAAACTCATGAACACAAAGTAACATTGACTTGATAGGAGACAGTCCCTCCAGTCACTCCTGGGAATAATAGACAGGCTTTGTTCACAGTTCTTGCCCCTGCCTCCCTGTTTGAACAGTGTCTTCTCTCCTTTCAGAAAGGGAAAGAAATTCTCACAGATAACAACATCCCCCATGGCCAGTGTGTCATCTGCCTGTACGGTTTCCAGGTGGGTTTCTCTCTTGGGACCTGGGGTCTGCTTGGGATGGGCAGTGGAGGGCTCATGAGAGCTCTGATGTCATGCTGGATGTCTGTCCTGCCTTCAGGAGAAGGAGGCCTTTACCAAAACCCCCTGTTACCACTACTTCCACTGCCACTGCCTTGCTCGGTATATCCAGCACATGGAGCATGAGCTCCAGGCGCAAGGACAGGAGCAGGAACGACAGCATGCCGCAACCAAGCAGGTCAGCTCCCCAGCCCCTGCTCCCACCTGACCCCCCGCGTCACACCCTTTCTGTCTCTCCACTCCAGGGGCTCTTCACCTTTTTAGGGTCACAGATACCTTTGAGGTTAATGAAAGCTCACCTCTGTCCAGAAAAAAAGGTCATTCTTTTAAACATATCTATGTACTGCTGTAGTTTCAGAGAGTTCCCACATCTCCATCTAGGGAGACGACTCCTGTCCTATCCTTCACTACTGAACGGTGTACCTCTGCCCTTCGTCCCAGCCCCGTGTGGATTAGGCTGGCTGACTGGGTTAGGCAGCTGGCGAGCACCATGGGCTGTGAAGCAGGGCTCTGATTGCTCCTCTGTTTTTAGAAGGCAGTCGGTGTGCAGTGTCCGGTGTGCAGAGAGCCCCTCGTGTATGATCTTGCCTCACTGAAAGCAGCCCCCGAACCTCAACAGCCCATGGTAAGGGAACCCCCTTCTCATGTGAGCCAGAAATAATGGCATTCTCCAAGGAGGGAGGGATGGCATCTTGTCCGCTTCGAATGGGATCTTGGGAATTGGGCTTGACCAGCCTGGGACCTCTCTGCAGAGCCGTAGCCCCCACTAGGCTAAGACTTTGGGAGCCCCATCTGAGCGACAAGCCCAAGAACCTTGTACAGGGGGTGCCTGTGGCTCAGCCGGTTGAGCACCTGGCTCCTGATTTCAGCTCAGGTCATGGTCCCAGGGTCATGGGATTGAGCCCTTAATCAGGGCACTGCATTGAGTGTGGAGCCTGCTTGGGATCCTCTCTGCCTCTGTCCCTCTCGCTTGCATCCTCTCTCTCTCAAAGAGAAAAAAGGAACCTTGTGCAGATTTCCTGAGGCAATCCTGAAAGAGCAGGGGTTCAAGTCTGCCTTCTACTGTTTATTTTTTCCTCCTTGTCATTCTGCTCGCTTCCCTCTAGGAGCTGTACCAGCCTAACGCAGAGAGCTTGCGCCAGCAAGAAGAGCGCAAGCGGCTCTACCAAAGGCAGCAGGAGCGGGGGGGTATCATCGACCTTGAGGCTGAGCGTAATCGGTACTTCATCAGCCTCCAGCAGGTGAGGAAAGGCTTTCTCAGTCCTCACTTAATGCCACCTACCCTCCCACCAGCACGCGTCTGCCATTGTGGCCCTGAGGGTGAGCTCTCTTCTACCCTTGAGGCTGCTGGTGGTCAGCTCCAGTAGTGAGCAAGGGGCCTGCAGTTCCCCGCTTTGGGGAACTGCGTCTCCCTCACTGTATCTGCTCACTTCTTTCTAGCCTCCTGCCCCTTTGGAACCAGAGTCAGCTGTAGATGCCTCCAGAGGATCCCACCCACCCAGTGCCCTTGACACAGAACTGTCCACCTCATCAACTGCCCAACCCGACCTATCAGCTCCTCTGCCTGTGGCCTCCCAGCACACGTGTGAGAAGATTCCAGGGGCTGGGCCAAATCAGCAAAGGTTGGGCGAGACCCCGAAAACTATGCTAGATCCTCCCCGGGCCGGTCGAGGCCCCTGGAGACAGCCTGAACGGAGGCACCTAAAGGGAGGGGAGTGCAATGCCCACAAAGGTACCAATGACACCCAGGAACTGCCACCTCCCGAGGGGCCCCTCAAGGAGCCCATGGACCTAAAGCCAGAACCCTGTAGCCAAGGGGTTAAAGGTCCTCCCCAAGAGAAGGGGCCTGGCACTTGGCAGGGTCCCCCACCCCGCAGGACTCGGGACTGTGCTCGCTGGGAGCGCTCCAAGGGTCGGACTCCGGGCTCTTCCTACCCCCGCCTGCCTCGGGGTCGGGGAGCCTATCGTCCTGGTACTCGAAGGGAGCCCCTGAGCCTGGAGTCTGAGGATGGTTCCTAGCAGTACTGTGGGGGGACAGGGATTTGGGGCGGCAGGGGGCAATAAAGAGATCTGGCCTTGTTTGGCTTCTTTGTTTAGTAGCGCCTAGCTTGTGCAGTATGGCTTTTTCTGACTTCCTGGCAAGACTGGAGTGTGGCAGAATAGCCCTCACTTTGCTCTAAAGTCTGTTTTCCCAAGAGATCAGGGTCTGAGTAAAGGCAGGTCTGATGTCTCTGCTAGTGTGAGTTTCAGGAAAACTAGTAGAGGCCAGCCAGCATTTAAGCAGAATATATGGGAACATAACATACATATACTATGTACACACACACACACACGTTTTTATGCATATGCATTCTTTTTAATTGAATGCCTTTTAAACGGAAGACTCTACTTCCCTGATGGCCATAGTATCTTTTCTTTCTGCTTTGCCCTAGCTTATGCCCCAACACTTGTGTATGCTGGATGCCTGAAGGTCCTTGCTTTTTATTCAAGTACCAATACAGGGAGGTAGGAAGGGGGTCAGAGACCAGAGCGGTGTGGCAGGTGTTTATTGAGCTAGAGAAGAGCTGAGCATGGCCAGCCTGTCACGTCCTCAGAGACTCGGCATTATGAACTGCCCCTGCAGGGTCATTTTTATACAGCATGAAGTAGCCCTGGACCTGGGCAGGACTTATCTGAGTTGTAACTTGAAGGACGCGTTCTGCAAAGGCCTCGGCCAGGGAAGGTGCTTGCCCTGGATAGAACCTCTGGAACATCTGAGTCAGCTGCCAGTGTGAGCAGTAGCCCACATACTCCTTCATGTCTACTCGTCCAGGGCGGATCAGTGCAGGGTCCAGCCTAAGAGCAGCAAAAGCAGGATCACAGGCCCAAGTACCACTGCTACCCCCTAAAATGATGGTTTCTCTGAACCTCCTGATCTCCCAAGGCACCGAGGGGGCAGGGAGTCCTGCCTCACAGTCTCAGATTGCCCCATCCCTTCTTACCTGTCAACATGGTTGGTGGTCATGAACACAATGCGTGCCTCAGTGGAAGCCACACCATCCAAGGCATTGAGCAGTCCACTGAAGGTGAGACGACCTAGACCTTGGTACTTGACTGGGTCTAGAGGAAGGCAGAGATAAAGAGACGTGGATGATCATAACCCTACTTAAACCTTCTACTCCCCACCACGTTCCCCTACTTATCAGTGACTCTTGTGAACTCTCGTTGCCAACTCAGGCGTCCTCCATCAGCCCTCTGGATTTCCACTTTCTTCCACTGCTCCTCACTCCTGTACCTCATTTACCGTCACTTAGAAATGCTCCCCATTTCCTCAGCTCCCCTCACTTACTCTCTGCAGCTAGGTCCCGGCTAAGAAAGGCTGCATCCACATCTTCCAGGAGCACCAGGCTCTGCTGCGGGGCCACGCTCAGCAGGTGGTTGAGCCGGTCATCGGAGAGGCTGGAGTCCGTGAGACTCAGCAGGCAGATGCTGTGCTCCAGTTCCCCAGCCAGGGCTGTGCTATGGAGGACAGGATGACAGCAGGCAGGCAACCCGGAATCAGTCCTTGGGCCCAAATATTTGTCCTCCCCATAACGGGTGGGGTCTCAGAGACCTAACCCTTCTATCACCCCATCTTAAGGCATCTCATGTCCTACGTGTATCATGTTCCCGGGTCTCCACATTTAATTCCCTTTCCAACCCCACAGCTCAGTTTTTCTCCAGTTTAATGATTAAGAGAAAATGTGACCCTACTCACATAAAACTGCTTTTTCCACAACCAGGGGGCCCATAAAGCAGGTAGCCACGTCTGTAGGGAATGCCTAGGAATACAGCCAAGATGATCAGGGCCTAAAATGAATTCAAGTACTCTACTTCAAATGTCCACATTCATTACCAACCCTGCCCCCTAGTGGCCTGATGACCTCAGTACTGGAAGAAATTAACCCTAGGGGCCAACTTTCATCTCTGGGAATTAAGCTAGAGCTTCATATTCATCCCATATGACCACAGAGACCAGCCTGTTTTCCCTTACTATAGCACCACATCAAAAACAGGCTGGCCAAGACCCCAGCGGCTTCTCACCTCTGTCAGTGTACCACTTGGGGTTATCGATGAATTCCCGGATGTCTCGGACAATTCGGTTAGCCAGACCCTGTTCTAGAACCACAGAACTCAGTGGCCGCCGTCGGCGTGGATAGCCAAAAGGGCGCCATTCAGAGCCCATGGCTGTGTACATCACTGTCTTCCCTTCCTCCTGCTGCAAGGCTAGCTCTCGAGCTAAGGGGGAAATAAGACAAAGCCAGTAATTCGTCTTTGCCATGCTATTAGGCAGACCTGTGCCAAGACAGCTTCCCTCTGGTCTCATGGGCTATGATCCTCCTCTCCAAGCTTCTCTTCCTCTGACGTCATATGCCCCTATTCTTGCAACTTGCCCCCCCTCCCCCCTCGCCATAAAGGCAGCCCGTGCTATCCCACACCTTCCTCCAGGATGTTGAAGAAAACCTTTCGGTCAGTGCCCAGAGCTGTGAAGGTGACAGATTCCCAAGGAGTCCCTGTCTGCAGGTCTATCATCTGCATCTCTCGGCTTCGTTCCACTCGGATCCATTTCCCTTGGTACCTGAATAAAAATGGTCACAATGAGGTGAATGAATGGGGGGTCAAATCCAGCTCCTCTCATTCTCCTTTCTACTCTTAGAGCCCTCCCTGGCTCCCAACCTTACCAGATAAAGTGGTTTCCAGGGCTGGGGACAAATTCAAACTTAGTGGAGATGCGCCCACTCTCATGCTGAAGGTATGAAGTCTCAACACTGAGATGCTGAGTACGGGTACTGTGGCGGGTGAGCCAGCTAAGCAACCAGGCATAGCTTCGGTCTCGAGCAGGGACTTCCAGTGTGATCATGTAATGGCGCCGGAATGCCACCAAGCCCAGCTGGGCACCCTTCCGGGCCAGGGCCAGGGCTGTGCCCACACCCACAAGCCCAAATCCAGCCCCAAAGTAGGGATTGTCCTTCAGGGCCAGAATAAAGTCTGAAAGGGGCATCTTGAGAGGGAAACACTGAACCTTACAGGCTCTGACGCATTTTCAAACCTGGGGGTGGAGAGCAGTGGAGATGGGACAAAGATTAGTTTAGAAAGGACTCTGCAATTCCTCGTCACCCTCATCCCTTCTTCCCACAGAGGCCAGGTGCAGGAAGGACAGGTCAGTTCTACTGTGTGTTTCCATATCCTCCCTTTGTGGGATGGAGGTCCTGCTGGAATGCAAGGGCTGAGACTTCAGGCCCCTCTTCCCATTTTGCCCTTCATTATCCTGTTCATAGTTCAATTTCCTGCCAGAGGACAAGGTCTAAAGATTCCTTAAACATGAGAGAACAATGTAACCATCTTCTCATCAGGATAATGGGCAGAATTTTTGTGGTCCCTGGGACTAGCTGAGATAGAAAGGGGCCCACTGCCCAGAGTTAACAGAGGATGAAGCTACTCTCTTCCACTGACCTGTCAGTAACCCCATGCCTTACCACCATGAGTAATACCCTTCAAATATCCTCTCCTTTACATGCTCAATTCCTAATATCCTGTTTAGTTAGCCCTTTATTGCCTCACGACTAAACTGTCTCTTTAAAATTAATTTTAGTTCTTAAAACGTCATCTTAATGGGCCTCCACCTCTGGCTTTGGCGTACCAAATTGCTACACAGGGATCCAGATCTTTCTTCATACAGTCTGCTTCAATCCAATGGCTTGTTCTGAACAGATCCCTGAATTAGGTAAAAACTCCTCTGCCTGGTACTCAAAACCCTTCACAACACAGGGCCTACCTATCTTTCATTGCTTAGCGCCTAATAATCTCTGTTGTATAATTCTGCTCAGGCAGGTCTTCTCTACTCGGAATCCCCATTCTAATTGACTCTTCCTTCTCCCCCAATTTAACACCTGTCCATTTGCTGCTTCCTCCACGGACATTTTCCCCGAATTCTCCCCCAATAAAACGTGACCCAGTCTAATTTTAGATTGTAAGGTCCCGAGGGATTGGAAGTCACATCGTTTCTAGCACACCTTCCCGACCCCTGCCACTTTGCTGTGCGCGAGGCACGCGGGACGGTGAACTGACAGCCGAGACCACGGCTGAGGCTCAGAGTAGAATCCAGAATGCCAAAATACTTATGCGTGGAAGGCCACAGACAAAGCCCTTCCCCCTCCCGTCCCTTGTCTGACGCCCAGAAGTGCCTTCCCGAACCCTTTCCACACCCCAGCTCGCGCCTCCAGCAGCGTGGCTCGGAGTAACCCCTCACTCCGCCCCCTTACCGCCATGACTCTCTGGCCCTCCCTCTCGATGGTTTCAGCCCCCGGCACTCCAGGGACGCGCCGCTCGGCCCCGCCCCGGCGTTCCTTCACCTACTTCCCGCCACACCCACCTAGCGGGCCGTGCCACTCTGCCCCACAACTCTCGATGGTATTCCTTGGGCCGCTCGGCTGGGAAAAGGGGCAAAGGGAAAACGCCGGAGAAAACCATAGAGTACACCGCCAGCCGACGAGAGGAAGAGAGAGCGGCCTCCATCGGCCCGAAGTCCTAGAGGCGGCTGGGCCGGAGGCGGTCGCACAAAAGGAGTCCCGGGAGGCCGCTCCAGCAGCTGGTGGACCATAGAGAGACACAGCTCCCGCCGGCCTTGGCCCGGGAGGTGAGTTAGTGGCTGCAGGCAGAAACTAGTAGGGAGTGTTTGTGGAGCGGGCCGGAGGCAAAAGTTTCTCGAACCCCAGGATGAGGGTGGGCCTGGGCGGTGGGAATCCCCTGGAGGAGGTGCTGAAAGAAGCACGCCGACGGTCTGGGCCCCGGCGCATCACAGCAGCCGTCCCGGTGCCTCAGCCGCGTCACTGCTTTGGATCCCGCCCGGTTGCCCGCTGCCTCTCCTCAGGACCATAATCATGACGATGCTCCATCCCAAGCTTTGCAGGTCACAAAACGGCTTTCCCATTTGCTGGCTCTTGTGATTGCCGCTCCCGCCCAACGATGTGGACGCTGTCATCACCTCCACTTTACAGATAGGAAAGCTGAGGCCCTGGGAAGCGAGGTGACTGTATCTATCAGAGGCCACGCGGTGAGTCAGAGCCCAAAGACACGTGGAAACCCGGGTGCCTTTGTCCCCACGCCGGGTCACATTCTTTCCCCAGGCCTTTTCTCTCCATTAATTTGTCCCTTTTCTTGCTCAGTGCCTCTGCCCCAAAGATGTGCTCATTTCTCCTCTTGTGCCCGCCTCTCTCCCACCTCACCCGCTTTCCAGCCGCTGAAGGTTCAGGTTTTCAGGTTCTTGATCTAGAAGGCACTGTGTCCTCCTTGGCTCCCCGCAGAGCAGCGATAAAATTCTGTGAGCGGAGGCTGTGGTTTCCAGAGAATCCTCTGACCGTGGAAATGCACTTCCCAGCTACCTTCCGAATCCCCGGATCTGAGGTTTTGAGTTGCAGGACTCACACCTGCAACCTGATTTCCTATCCCTAAGGCCCTTACTTGACCTCCATGACTCAATTTCATGGAGTAATTACTGTCATACATTACTTATTCTTCAGCTTACGCTAATTTTAGCCATGTGTAACAGGATATGCAATTTAGTTGGTATTCATTTCTCAGTTGTGTTGTAGCGTTTTCAATATGAGGCCATAGTCAATGAGTTTGAAATTTCTCCAGGTGTGTTCCTTCATATGTAAGGAACCACTGGTTTATCTTTGTAGGAGACCTAGCTTCCCTCTGATGCATCTCCATGTCTGCGGTTCTCCACTAGAATCTCATTTGTCTTACTTGCATAGATTGTTGTGATTTGTGTTCAGTGCAGTGATAAGTCAGTCAGTTGCACTCAGAAAGCTCTAAGTCTAGGGAGGGAGACTGATAGCTAAACAACAGTGCAGTGTGACAGTTTCTGATAGAGTTAGGTACAAGGTACAAGGCCCTGAGGACCCCAGAGAGAGTAACTTACATAAACAGTGTCAAGAAGTCTTCACAGCAGAAGTGACATTTGTGCAGATTCTTAAGGACAGCGAAGAGTTGGTTAGCCAGACGAGAGATGAAGAAGGGGAAATGGCCCGTCAAGCCGAGAGAGAGAGAGAGAGAGAGAGAGAGAGAGAGAGGCATGTGTGAGGGTATGGGAGCAGAAGAGAAGTTGGTGAGCCTGGAGAATGGCAACTCATTGGTATGACTGGATCAGAGATCTGTTGAGGGGAGAGGTGGTAGATGAGTCTGGAGAGGTCAGCAGGGGCCAGGTCATGAAGAAAGGGCCTTATACCGATACAGAGGAGTAGTGAGATCATAACATGTTAAGCGGGGAAGGGACATCTGAGATCCCTTGGCTCAAGTTTTGTTGCAGATAAGAAAACTGGGACCCAGATTGCTTTGTGATTTCACCAGGGTTACTTAGATCCAAGAAACTTAACCTTCAGTCTTTAGTATATTGGCCAAAACTTGTTGGCTCTCTTCTAATATTGATCCCTATTAACATTTGTATACTTCTCGTTCTGAGCATTGTTGTAAAAACTTCTAGGTTAACTAGGTGTGGCATGCTGCCATGCAAGGAAATGCCTAAGTGGGCAGGCACTGGGCCGTGCACCCACATCAGCTGGGAAGAAAGTGAGTGAGATCTCTAACTATATTTTGTTTGGGTTCTCTTCTGATTGGCTTATCAGCACATAAAAACCACAGAACACCGGTCAGTGGTGATGACAGACCCCGTGTTGGACCCACAGCCAACCGACAGCACTGGGGAGATGGATGGACTGTGTCCTGAGCTATTGCTGATCCCCCCATCTCTGTCTAACCGTGGAATCCTGGAGCCTGTCCAGAGCCCCTGTCCTGCTGGGAATCCCACACCTTTGCCTGCTGACCCAGGCTGCCTGCTGGTAGAGTCCACGGCAACTGAAGAGGACACAGGGAACATGGAGATCATTGTGGAAGCAGTAGCTGGAAACCTGTCCCCAGGTGCTCCTGGAGAGCCCCCAGGTACAAACATAGTTGCTACCAGGCCAGTGGGACAGTCAGCCCTGAGGTTTTGTCTGTGCTATTTTTGACCCTTCTATATAAATGTGATGAGAACACAAGGTAACATCTTATTTTTATTCTTAGAGATGTTGTAATTTGATTTGCAGTTGGTGAATGTTGATTGAAGGCTGGCAAGGTGGTTCACAACCTGGTACCGAGCTCTTGGCAGAGTCTATCCCTGTGAGGGCTTCGTGTCTGCTAGGCAGCAATCCAGAAGGGAAGACCTTTCTGACACCTCTGCCGGATCCTTACTCCTATAGCCCTCGGGGAGTTTTTCCCCCATATTGACCCTCCCACTCGGGAACTGCAGCCAGGGATTAGGCAACAGGCCCAGCGCCTCCACCACCCTGGGCTTGGCAGGGCTTCCCAGAGGTAATCTGGTATTTCCTTGCCCTAGTTTCTTGTGTATAACATACTTAACTCATCCGAGGCATGTTGTCAAGAGTGGGAGTTGAACATTTATATTTATTCTAGAAAAAAGACTCTCCCCTTTATTCTTCCCATATCTACAACTTCTTATTTTTAGGTAACTTCCCTGCTGTTAACTGCCATCCTCCAGCTATGGCTGTCACAACTTCCCTTGGCAGTGTAGTATAGTGACAGCAACTACTGGGAAAGATTAGCTAATTTGATCGTAGAGTATTTCTAACCTTCTGTGTAATGAAACAAGTAATAGGCAAAGAACAAACCTGGGAAAAACATTTGCAATACATGAGGAAGAGTTAATATCTTTAAAATTCAAAGAGCTATGAAATAAGAAAAAGAAACGGTGTTTTTTGGGGGGTTTTGTTTTTTTTTTTTAGAAAGGGAAAAAGAAACCTACAGGCACTTCAATAAGGAAGAGTAAAAATAGTCAATAACCATAAGGATGCATAATCTCACTAACACACAAATAAGTTCCAGTTAAAAATAATTATGAGGGGTGCCTGGCTGGCTCAGTCAGAAGAGCAGATGACTCTTTTTTTTCTTTTTAAGTGTATTTATTTATTGAGAGGGAGAGAGCGATCCTATGGGGGGAAGGGCAGAGAGGGAGGGAAAGAATCCCAAGCAGGCTTTGTGCAGAGCCTGATGTGGGGTTTGAACCCACAAACAGTGAGATCATGACCTGAGCCTAAATCAAGAATCAGACGTTCAACTGATTGAGCCACCTGGTGCCCCAGAGCATGTGACTCTTGATATCAGGGTCATGAGTTCGAGCCCCACGTCGGGTGTAGAAATTACTAAAAAAAATTAATAATAATAAACTTAAAAAAAATAATAACAGTTATGAAATGCCCATATTGCTTCCCAACTATGGCAAAAATTAAACGTTTTTTATAATACTTAGTGTTGGTAGGAAAACAGATAACTGCCTTATAGCTTATGGAGTGTATAAATTAGCATAATCTTTTGAAGGTCATTTTATATAATGAACTTTAATTTTTTTTAATGTTTATTTACTTTTGAGAGACAGAGAGACAGAGGTGTGAGCGAGGGAGGGGCAAAGAGAGAGGGAGACACAGAATCTGAAGCAGCCTCCAGGCCCGAGCTGTCAGCACAGAGCCTGACACGGGGCTCAAACCCACGAACCCTGAGATCATGACCTGAGCCAAAGTCGGATGCTTAACTGACTGAGCCACCCAGGCACCCCTATATAACAAACTTTAAACTGACCCAGTCATTCCATTTCTAGGCCTCTGTCCTATAGAAAACTCACACACATGCACAAGGAGACAGAGGTAAAAGGTTGTCCCGAGCAGCTTTATTTATAATGATTGCAAATAACCCAAATGTCCATCAGTAAGGGCAAGACTTCATTTTGACTTGTTCATGCCAGGAAGTACTCTGGACTGGACAAAAAAAAAAAAAAAAAAAAAAAAACAAAAAAACAAGGCAGAGCTAAAGGTACTCAGAAAAAAAAGTATCTGATATATATAGCAAGGGGGGGGGGCGGGGGCGGGGAGGGAAGCAAATTGCAGAGAAATGACTGAAAAAGGCCTGAAAGAATAAGAATATACATTAAATTTTGTGTGAGAGTGTGGGGGGGTTATTTTTTCTTTATATACATCTATGTTATTTGAGTTGTCACACTGAACTTTTATTTAAACAAAGAAATGATAAAAAAAAAAAAGGATTCCCAGGGTAGATGTGGCACAGACCTGGGCTTGAGTCCTGGTTCCACCATTAACAGGCACCATGGCCTTAACCTTAGAACTCCAGGCCCCTCTTCTCATAGGGCAACTGGAGCACCAAGTGAGTGTTTCCTACACCTTTGTCAAGGTCCTGCCCGTTGCTTAAGAAATGGCAGTGATTACTGTGAACGTGATTTGGGTCTTTTGGAAACGGATGTTTTCCATTTTGTAAATTACTGTGCCTTTGAAAAATCTCTTTACAGAATGTGAAAGTAATACTTTGTCATTTATACTGTAGATGTTATCCGCAGATTGTCGTTTACTTCTTTTGGAAGTTCGTAATTTTTCATTTGGGCAAAACGTATTGCCTTTTCCTAATGCTTTCCTGTTTGGTTAATGCTTGTTGTATTTATTTAGCAAATGTTAAATACCTATTTTGTGCCAAATGTTGAGCCAGATACTGGGAATCCAACTTTAGTATGTGTGCTGCCGAAGTGAGCACTTGATAGTGGGAATCCAAATGTATGTGCGAATAAATAGACTGTCCCTGACCTTATGGAGCTTACTGTCCAGGGATAGACCAGACTTAAGGTCCATCTCCACTCTACTAATATTAAAAGATTCACCTACATTTTCTACTAGTAGCTAACTCCTGTGAGTCTCATTCCATCTGATTCTGTGCCTTTCTCTGTCGGTCCTCTGCCTGCAGGTGTCCTGGTAAAGGTGGTGGAGGTGTACTTCTGTGAGCGCTGTGAGCAGAGCTTCGCAGAGCCCACTCTGCTGGCCCTGCACCAGTGTACTGAGACCCTTATACAGCCTATGCAGGGCCTCTCTAGCCTTCCATGCTCTGTAGAGCTGACCCCCAGCAACCTCATTCTCTCTGGCCCTCTGCAGGGCCAGGGCCCACCAGATAGCCCCCTGCCATGCCCTGTGTGTAGACAGGAGTTTGCCCAACCCCAGGCCCTGAAGAGCCACTTCAAGATTCACCGGGCCACTCCTGACATCTTCTCCTGCCCAGAGTCTGGCTGTGTGTTCTCCGCTGAAGATCGCAAGGGTCTGCAGCACCACCTGAGGCAGGCCCACGCCACGGTTCCCGTGCCCTGTTCTTTCCGGGGCTGCCCCCTGCTCTTTGGGAGCCAGCAGGGCATGGAGCTGCACCGGCAGGCCCACTACCCTTTCCACTGCAACCATTGCAGCTTCGTGGGCTCCAACGTCAAACTCTTCCGGCAGCATCAGCGGAGCCACGGGGCCGGGACACAGGGAGAACTGTCTGCCCTTCAGGGTCTTCCATCCCAGGAGCTGCTGCCAGGTATGAGGCCAAAGGCCCAGCAGTGCCTTGCCTGGAACGCAGCCACGGTCAGTCTTACAGGACAGGCCGTTGATTCCAGTGCCATGAATGTATATGTGAATGCAAGGGAACGTGGAGCAGTGGCTCAGGAGGCCAGCATTACTGACTGACAATGGAAGGCATCTAGAAACCCTGGACCAGTCAGAATATATAAGACAAGGAGCAAGTCTTTGTCCATGACAGTGAGTGATATTTGGCTTTAGCTGTGCTGTGGCCTTGAAGTTACTTAACCAGTATCCTTTTTTTTTTGATTCATTTCAGAGCTTTCTGAGGGCAGAAGCTAAAATGTTCATCCGTGGCCGTAGCCACTGGTAGAATACCTGTAGACTTCTTTTTAGAGCACGTGGGATTGGGCCAGAGAAGCCGGGATTCTTTTAAAAAGAAACTTTCTAGGAGGGTGGAGCCTCACTGATCCTTACTCCTCTCAGTCTCAACAAAAACAAACAAACAAAAAACCAACAACAACAGAAAAAACGGGCATGGGGTGGGTAGAAGAGCAGGAGAAAATAGAGAAACCAGGCCTGGAAGGTCAGGATTCTGCTGAGAGACTTAGGCTTGCTAAGACCTGTTGGTGCTTTGTTCCCAAAGAGAAGACCCCTTTTTCCTGGGAAATAGTCTTGTATCTTTGCCTTCCTGAGGCATCTCCCTTGGTTGAGGGATAGAAGGGCTGGATTGGTGTGACCCTGTCTTGCTGATTAGGCTTCTCAGTAGAGCAGTTAAGAGGACAGACTATGTTACCCTGCGTTGAGCCACCAGCTGTTAGCCCTGGGAACCCAAGCCAAGGAAGGGCTCTGTACCCATTCTGTCCCTCTCAGTCCCCTACCCCCACTGCAGTGATCTCAAAGCTCTTACCTTTCAGGGGTCTGAGGATGGTGTTATTTGAGGTTTGATTTACTCTAGGTTGGAGCATTAATGACAGCTTAGCTCTTGGTCTTCCTATCTTTGTCTTGAGTGATAATAAATGTATAGACTTAGAATCTGGGATTCTCTTACACTAAATGGGGAGAGGGTGATTCTGCCAGCCAGTAAGAGGAGCAGTCCAAGCCTTCACTGCTGGCATTGGCTTCTATAGACATCATCGAGTGTTATGTGTCTCCAGCTCCGAAACTGCCCAGTAGAGAGGGAGAGCCTTCAGAACAAGCAGATACGCCCTTGCCCAGGCGAGAGTCAGCTGACGAGGAGGACGTAGAGGAAGAAGAGGGGAATGGCACCTTAAAGGACTCCCAGAAAGCCCCAGAGAAAGCCCAGGGGGCTCAGCAGTTAGAAGGTAATAACATGGTTAGGCTTGAACCTCCTGGTGGTGGGGAGGAATAGATTGAGGGGAGCCTGGCATTGAGGCTCAGGGGTTTGGTTTCCTGGGCTTTGATTCATATCCCTTTGTTCCTACCCTTCCACTTTGACATGTCTAGTGGGAAAATGATAAATGAGTAAAGACTGTAGAAACAGCCGGGGTAAATAGAGTTTGCTCTCCTGGGCTGGTTTTCCTTGGGCAGAAAGCTTTTTTGCAGGGAAGAGAGGGTGATATTCATCATACAAAGATGCTAGAGGTTATTGGTCAGCAGCCTGACATGTCTGGCATTGGGCCCACTGAGATTTTGTTTCTGAAACCCTACTTTCCATGGGGCGCCTGGGTGGCGCAGTCGGTTAAGCGTCCGACTTCAGCCAGGTCACGATCTCGCGGTCAGTGAGTTCGAGCCCCGCGTCAGGCTCTGGGCTGATGGCTCAGAGCCTGGAGCCTGTTTCCAATTCTGTGTCTTCCTCTCTCTCTGCCCCTCCCCTGTTCATGCTCTGTCTCTCTCTGTCCCAAAAATAAATAAACGTTGAAAAAAAAAAATTAAAAAAAAAAAAAAGAAACCCTACTTCCCAGTTTTCTAACTCACTAGAACATTTGAAACCCATCCAGCCCACAGGGAGCACATTTATTGTCAAGGGAATAGAAAAGATCTGGTTGTATTTATGACCAGTTCTCTATGATCTAGAACTCAGTGAACCAGTGTTAGGAAGTGGGAGTACTTTACCTTCTTCACTTCCCTTTTCTACACTCCATGGGGTTTTTTTCCTTCCAACCAACCCTGCTGATCCCACTGCCTACCTCCATGAACGAGGACAAGGAAGAACAAGAATGGTCCATCTGGATTGTTCTCTCGAGCAGCTCTAGACAAAGGCTTAGGAACAGTAGGTGGCTGGGTAAAGCACTTCAAATAGGTTTGCCACAAGGCTTGAGAAATCCTTGTGATGTTGCTTTTTTCAATACTTGAATTTCTCGTCTCTTCTTTGAGACTACAGTGTTTGAGGTGCTACTGTTTCGGTTTCCTGGAGAGAAACGGGAAAGGCCACACGATGTTTGTGTCTGGGCAGATTGTGGTTCTCCCATTATCTGGCCAGCCCCTGAGCTACCTTCTGTGCCTTTTCCCTCTCCCAGGGGATGTGGCTTCTGGCACCGAGTCCCTCTTCAAGACCCACATGTGTCCAGAATGCAAGCGCTGCTTTAAGAAGCGGACCCATCTGGTGGAGCACCTGCATCTCCACTTCCCGGACCCCAGCCTTCAGTGCCCCAACTGCCAGAAGTTCTTCACCAGCAAGAGCAAGCTCAAGACCCATCTGCTGCGGGAGCTGGGCCAGAAGGCCCACCGCTGCCCGCTGTGCCACTACAGTGCGGTGGAGAGGAACGCGCTCAACCGCCACATGGCCAGCATGCACGAGGACATCTCCAACTTCTACTCAGACACCTACACCTGTCCCGTGTGCCGCGAGGAGTTCCGCCTCAGCCAGGCCCTCAAGGAGCACCTCAAGAGCCACACGGCGGCGGCGGCGGCAGAGCCGCTGCCCCTCCGCTGCTTTCAGGAAGGCTGCGGTTACACGGCCCCCGACCGCAAGGCCTTCATAAAGCACCTGAAGGAGACCCATGGTGTGCGGGCCGTGGAGTGCCGCCATCACTCTTGTCCCATGCTCTTCGCCACGGCCGAAGCCATGGAGGCCCATCACAAAAGCCACTACGCCTTCCACTGCCCACACTGCGACTTTGCCTGCTCCAATAAGCACCTGTTCCGCAAACACAAGAAGCAGGGCCACCCCGGCAGTGAAGAGCTGCGCTGCACCTTCTGCCCCTTTGCCACCTTCAACCCGGTGGCCTACCAGGACCACGTGGGCAAGATGCACGCCCACGAGAAGATCCACCAGTGCCCTGAGTGCAGCTTTGCCACCGCCCACAAGAGGGTGCTCATCCGCCACATGCTGCTGCACACCGGTGAGCTGGCTTCCCTGCTTCCCATAACGTAAGGGTGGCAGTGAGGAAGGGGGCGGCAGAAGTGAGGTTTTACTGTGTACAAGACACAGGAAGGGCCTTGCCTGCATTGTCTTGTTGGACCCAGTCTTCCTAGATATAAATCAAGCCTTAAGCCGAGTGTCACTCAGCTAGTACAGCAGTTAAGCCACTGAGCCAAAGACTGTGCTCTCACTGCTATGCTGCTGTGTCTCACCGTTAAGGCCCCATCCAGTTCTGCTTGCCCTTCGTCAGGCTTGCCTGGGTCAGTACCCAGCCTATTAGAGCGAAGAAACCCAGACGGGGGGAGATACCTTCCTTTGCAATTCGAGTTTTGAGGTGTGCTATGAGAGATGGGGCGAGGGGACTGAACCATCTACATATGTTGTAGCCTTGGCAGCCGACTCAGAGTCTAAATTGGTTACCAGCATTGCTGATGCTTTGAGTGACACAGCCACATCAGGCTTCCTCCTACAGCATCACCCCATTTGTGCTCTCTAGGCAAGCATCAGTGGGTTGACAAGATATTAAAAAAATCTCATCAAAGATTTTTGGGAGGCCAGGTTTTAGGTAGCTTGGGGTAAAGCCATTGTTTCCCTGGAACAGGTCATTTCTACACATGCTTTGGTCACCAAGCCTCGTTTTTCTGCGGCCTTTCCTAAAATCTTCATCTCTACGGTGCTTTATAGTTTAGAGTTCTTTTAGATAGATCACTTCATTTAATTCATAATAACAATCTTGTAAGGAAGACAGGTGAAAAAGAGAAACTGAACACTTAAATGGCCTGTTTCAGGATCACACAGCTAGTATCAGAACCAGAGCCAGACGACCACGTTGCTTGCTTTTGACCGCGGGGAAATGGGCTGAGCGGGTAGGCAGGGATCACAGGGAAGGGTCCTGAAGGACCTGGTCTTGACCAACTACACAGACAGCTCTTCCTTGAGTCCTTGCTGGGCACTGCTGAGGACTTTGGGACATCTCATTTAATCTTCTGTCAACCATGCGCAGTCAGTATTTTTGTTGCTCCCTCTTTGGAGCCAAGGAAACTGAGACTTGGAGGGGTTAAATGACCTCTCCAAAGCCATACGGTAGTAAGCTGGGATCTGAACCACCACTTGATAGCTCTGTGGTTTCTCTCTGCCTTGGCTTCTTTTTCTGTAAAATGGGGCAGTCCTCCTCCGGGGGCTGTTGGGAGGAGTCAGTACGAGGGGACCTGGTACATAATGAGCATTCTATACATGTTGGCTATTGACGTCTTTGTTACCGTGTCGGATTTCAGAGTTCAAATTCTTAACTACTTCTTGTATTGCCTGATTTTTTTCTCCTCTTCCACAAAACTGGAAGGAACTAGGGTAAGTGGAGCCAGTGCCAGCAAGCTCCACAACAAATCAAGGGTAGACTTCCAAGCTGGTTTTGAAAAGCACGGTCTTCACTTTCCTCCGGGGCTTGCTCCGTGTCGGAGTGGAGAAATCGTCTGCGAGGGCTGGGGAGCAGCACTGACTTGTGAGCCACGCCGCAGGCCGCGCGTGAAGCTTTCATTCTGCTTGGCATCAGGGCAAGCTTGCTGGGGAAGATGGTCTGTGCTCGCTCGGTCCGTGTCTGACCTGTGTCCTCTCCCCTCTCCCACCCCCACTCCCCCATAAGGCGAGAAACCTCACAAGTGTGAGCTGTGTGACTTCACGTGCCGAGACGTGAGCTACCTGTCCAAGCACATGCTGACCCACTCCAACACCAAGGATTACATGTGCACCGAGTGTGGCTATGTCACCAAGTGGAAGCACTACCTCAGTGTGCACATGCGGAAACATGCAGGGGACCTCAGGTATGAGTACACGCACACCTCCGTCCCTGTTCCCAAGGACCTTATGCCAGGCTAGCCTCCTCTTGAACTCACCTTGCTCTCCTGGTCCCAGAGCGACTCCTCCTATTGTCCCTCTCTGCTCCTCTCGCCTCAGCTCCATTGCCTGTAGCTGGGCTCTGTGCCTGTGGCCCAGTGTGCATGGTGAGAGCTGTCTGGGCTCAGGGGAGGGAGCGCAGGCCTACACACGAAGGTGTCCCTTGGGTTCTGAGTCCGGTCCTGGGAAAGTAGGGAGACTGCACCTGTGACCCCAACCCAGGCATGTTTCCCGCTGAGCTGTGGCACAGCTGGCCAGGGGGTTTCTCCTAGCTTCCATGCCTCCACGGGAGAATGAGACCTAGGCACAGAAACCTGCCCCGTGAGGCTGTAGCCCTGTCAGCTCCTTCGGAGTCCACAGCGGGTTGCTGATTTATGCTCTCTTCCCTTTGGGAAGCGATACAGAGGAGGGGTCGGAACACAGGCCCTGAAGCTAGGCTGTCCCTGCCCTTCACTTCCTTTTTAACCTTAGGCAAGTTATTAATTTCCGTGCTTTAGTGACCTCACTTGCAAATAGATACCTACATCACAGGGCAGTGGAAAAAAAGAATAAATTAGATGATGCGTGTACGGTACCGAGTGTAGAGCCTTGTCCATGGTAAGTGCTCGTTTACCTGTCAAGGGAGATCGATAATTGTGATTTTGCCCCCCACCCCCACCCCTGTCCTCCTCGCCAGATACCAGTGCAACCAGTGCTCGTACCGCTGCCACCGGGCCGACCAGCTGAGCAGCCACAAGCTGCGCCACCAGGGCAAGTCCCTGATGTGTGAGGTGTGTGCTTTCGCTTGCAAGCGGAAGTATGAGCTGCAGAAGCACATGGCCTCCCAGCACCACCCGGGCGCGCCGGCCCCGCTCTATCCCTGCCGCTACTGCAGCTACCAGAGCCGCCACAAGCAGGCCCTGCTGAGCCACGAGAACTGCAAGCACACCCGCCTCCGGGAGTTCCGCTGTGCCCTCTGCGACTACCGCACCTTCAGCAACACCACCCTCTTCTTCCACAAGCGCAAGGCCCACGGCTACGTGCCCGGGGACCAGGTGTGGCAGCTCCGCTCTGCCAGCCAGGAGCCGGAGGGGGCCAGGCAGTGCCCGACACCCCCGCCAGACTCAGAGCCCTCGAGCCAGCTGTCTCCCCAGCCTGAGGCGCCAGACCGTGACCCCGGGACTGTGGTGGACCCCAACGTGGACCGGGCCCCGCCGGAGCCCGGTGAGGAGGACCGCGCCGGGAGACCGGCTGGCAGCGAGGTCCCGCGGGGGGACGACCTGGGTAGCAGCCCCAGTCCGGCCGAGGCAGATGAAGGTGGCTGCACGCTGCACCTCGAGGCCCTGGGGGTGGAGCTGGAGCCCGTGGCTGAGCCGCCCCTTGAGGAGATCACTGAACCCGCCCCTGCGGAGTTCAGACCCCTGGACCCCTCGGGGCCCCTGAGACTGGAAGGGCCAGGTGCCACTTTGACAGAGCTGTCTACCTTTGAAGGTGCTGGGACGTCTGGTTTGGATGCTGAAGAAGAGCCCGTTCTGGAAAAGCCAGCCCCTGAAAGCCCCAGAAACCCCCCTTCCTCAGAGGAGCCCCCTGACAGCTGGGTGGGAACCTTCAAGGCAGCTCTGCCTGCTGAGACCGCTCCCCTCCCCCAGTTCCCAGAGTCAGAGTCCTTACTCAAGGCCCTGCGGAGACAGGACAAAGAGCAAGCAGAGGCTCTGGTGCTGGAGGGGCGGGTTCAGATGGTTGTGATACAGGGAGAGGGGCGGGCCTTCCGCTGCCCGCACTGCCCTTTTATCACCCGCCGGGAGAAGGCCCTGAGTGTACACTCCAGGACTGGGTGCCAGGGCCGCCGAGAGCCCCTGCTGTGCCCTGAGTGTGGGGCTAGCTTCAAGCAACAGCGTGGCCTCAGCACCCACCTGCTGAAGAAGTGCCCTGTTCTGCTCAGAAAGAACAAGGGCTTACCCAGACCAAGTTCACCCGTCCCTCTGCGTCCTCCGCCCCCGGCCACCCAGGACTCAGGGGATGCGGAAGGTGGGAAGCCCCCATCTGCGCCATTAGAAGTAGAGCTGGTGCTCCCAAAAGATGCTCCCTCTGTGCCTCCCAGGGAGTCGGAAGTAGAGGAGCCTCCTGGCACACTGTGTGTCCCTGCAGTCCCTCCTGCAGGAAACCCCTCACCTGCAGAGACGCCTGAGAAGTTCCACTTCGAGCAGGGCAAGTTTCACTGCAACTCCTGCACGTTCCTCTGTTCTCGGCTCTCCTCCATTACCTCTCACGTGGCCGAAGGCTGCCGGGGGGGGCGTGGCGGGGGAGGAAAGCGGGGGGCCGCCCAGACCCAGCCCGTTGCATCCCTCCTGAGCGATGGAGGCTCCGCTCCCCTAAACAGTGGCAGCACAGAGCGCAGCCCTGGGAATGGGGACACGACTGCGGTGCCAAAGCAGAAGGGGGCGCGCTTCTCCTGCCCCACGTGTCCCTTCAGCTGCCAGCAGGAGCGGGCTCTGAGGACTCACCAGACCCGGGGCTGCCCCCTCGAGGGGTCCGGCGAGCTGCACTGTGGCCTCTGCACATTCACCACTGCCGCCGCTGCCGCCCTGAGGCTACACCAGAAGCGGAGGCATCCTAGCACGGCTCCTGCCCGTGGGCCCCGGCCCCCTCTGCAGTGCGGGGACTGTGGCTTCACCTGTAAGCAGGGCCGGTGCCTACAGCAGCACCGGCGGCTCAAGCACGAGGGAGTGAAGCCGCACCAGTGCCCCTTCTGTGACTTTTCCACCACCAGACGGTACCGGTTGGAGGCGCACCAGTCGCGACACACAGGTGTTGGCCGCATCCCCTGCAGCTCCTGTCCCCAGACATTTGGTACCAACTCAAAACTGCGCTTGCACCGGCTAAGGGTACATGACAAAACACCCACCCACTTCTGTCCCCTCTGTGACTACAGTGGCTATCTTCGCCATGATATCACTCGCCACGTCAACAGTTGCCACCGGGGCACTCCTGCCTTTGCCTGCCCCCAGTGTGAGGCCCAGTTCAGTTCCGAGACGGCACTCAAGCAGCATGCCCTGCGCCGACATCCTGAGCCTGTGCCCCCCGCCCCCGGCTCTCCTGCGGAGGCCACTGAGGGCCCCCTGCACTGCTCCCGCTGTGGGTTGCTGTGCCCCAGCCCCGCCAGCCTGCGAGGACACACCCGGAAACAGCATCCTCGGCTGGAGTGCGGGGCCTGCCAGGAGGCCTTCCCCAGCCGGCCAGCACTGGATGAGCACCGGAGACAGCAGCATTTCAGCCACCGCTGCCAGCTCTGTGATTTCGCTGCCCGGGAGCGGGCGGGCCTGGTGAAGCACTACTTGGAACAGCACGAGGCGGCAGCGGCCTCGGAGGGCGGTGCAGGTGCCAGCCAGCCCCCCCTGCGCTGCCCCTTTTGTGACTTCACATGCCGCCATCAGCTCGTGCTGGACCACCACGTGAAAGGGCACGGGGGCACCCGGCTCTACAAGTGCACCGACTGTGCTTACAGCACCAAGAACCGGCAGAAGATCACCTGGCACAGCCGTATCCACACCGGGGAAAAGCCCTACCGCTGTCACCTCTGTCCCTATGCCTGTGCTGACCCTTCTCGACTCAAGGTAAGGTTGGGGCCCTGGGGACTTCCCTGATCCCAACTCGCAGCTATGAGCTCTGGGACTTTCGTCAAGCCCCCTAACTTCTCCAAGCCTCAGATTCCTCGTGTGTAAAAGGAAGAGAATACTTCACAGAGTTGTCACAGAGATAAAATTCTGTCATATGTGCTTGGTATGTGATGAAGGCAGGTAATAGTTGGGTGGTAATCTCCGTGATAATGGCTAACATTTATTGAGCACTTATTGTATGCTGGATACTAATTTTAGTCCTTCCAAAACACAAGATAGAGTTGCTTTTGCTATTTCTTCTGCAGTTGATTTCACAGGTTAATAAACTGTGAGGTAGAGGTTAAGCCCCCAAAGACACAGGTAGCAAGTGGCAGAGCTGAGATAGGGCAGACCAAGAGGTAGGCCCAGTGGGTTAGGTTGGTGTCCACATGGCCAGACTGGGGAGCCTGCTTGGTAACAGAAGTATGGCTGGGATGGGAGCACATCCTTTGAGTGTCAAGGGTACGCATTTTCTGGGCATACTCTGCTCTTTCCTCCTCCAGTACCATATGCGGATCCACAAGGAAGAACGCAAGTATCTGTGCCCTGACTGTGGCTACAAGTGCAAGTGGGTCAACCAGCTCAAGTACCACATGACCAAGCACACAGGTGAGTCTGTGCGGTTTCGACAGGCCCAAGGGGTTCCCCCATTCTCTGGCACACCCAGCCTCCTTGAGGTTGTAGGTGTCCTTAGTCAGGTTCAGGGCGCACATCAGTTTTTCACATTGGTGGTAGGAGGGAGGGAGGCTGAATGGCCAGAATAGCTTCCCTGCCCACTGAAGACCTATCAGAATCAGAAGAGAGGTGAACCTGGGAGCCTATGCGTCTGCACTGTGTAAAAGCTTCATGGCCCTAGGTTACCCACCTCCCATTGAGAACTCAAACATGTGACTGAAGGAGGTCTCCTTGGTTCCTGCAGACAGAATGGGCTGTTATGGGTAACAAAGAGAATGTGAAGGGTTCACTTGTTTTGACTTCTTTTTTTCCTTCTGGGTACGGAGTCCATGAACTATGGCTTCTCAGGAAAGACTTAATGATGCCGTGCTTGTGATTACTGTGTATGATCCCCTCATGTAAAGGAAGTAACCAGATGCATTTCAAGGCACTCTGCATCTGTGAATGACACTTCTTTTGCCTCTAGCTCTTCCTTCTTAAACATTTTATTTTCCTGTTTGGGTTGGACAAGGAGTTGTATTTAAATGGATTTCCAAGTTGCATGAGGACCCCATGATCAAAAGGGGGTTAGAATCTCCCATTTGGAAACCCTGTCATATTTGAGTGAATATTTGTTGCTGTCAGGTGGCTGGCTACTTGGGAATCGGTTATCAGCATCCATTGAGCACCCGCTGTATACAAGGGGCTGTTTTGGGAGAAGGGCATAGAAATGTCAGAAGAGACTGGAACATTCCAAAGGTGCGGTCGTTAGTCACCATGCTGCTTGTGTTCTTTGTGTCCCGGGATCACGGCGACTCTTCTGGCACACTGAGCATTGTTCGACTCCCTTCAGCAGTAATTTGTTCCTTGTCCTTGCCCTGTCCCCTAGGACTGAAGCCATACCAGTGTCCCGAGTGTGAATACTGTACCAACCGGGCTGATGCGCTGCGTGTGCACCAGGAGACGCGGCACCGGGAAGCCCGGGCCTTCATGTGCGAGCAGTGTGGCAAGGCCTTCAAGACCCGCTTCCTACTGCGCACCCACCTCCGCAAGCACAGCGAGGCCAAACCCTATGTGTGCAACGTGTGCCACCGTGCTTTCCGCTGGGCTGCCGGCCTGCGCCATCATGCCCTCACCCACACTGACCGCCACCCCTTCTTCTGCCGCCTCTGCAGCTACAAGGCCAAGCAGAAGTTCCAGGTGGTTAAGCATGTGCGCAGGCACCACCCCGACCAGGCCGACCCAAACCAAGGAGTGGGCAAAGACCCCACCACCCCCACAGTGCACCTGCATGACGTGCAGTTGGAGGACCCCAGCCCCCCTGCTCCTGCTGCTCCTCCAACTGGACCAGAGGGCTGAGAGCCTACCCCACCTCTTGGAGGGTGTGGTCCAAGACGTGCAGTGCAGACTGACTGGAGGCAGAGCGAGCCTGGAGCTCAGGGCCAGAGGAGGGGCTAGCTTCGAGGCGCCCGGGGAGGGGGCTGCAGGCCTCCTGGGACTCAGGCTCTAGTACTTTGAAGTTGATGGCCATATATATAAAAGAGCAACATGGACCACAAATTGATTTCCTGTCGCGGCACACTGTGTTTTTAACCCATGAGTTCCTGCTTTCTTCACCATCCCTCCCCCAAAGTCCCTGGCTCTAAGATGCTGGTTTTACCCATTCTGTCGTCCCCTTTCTTCTTGCTGTCAAGTCTGTTTTCTTTCAATGCCCTCAAAACAGTTGTATCTACCTGCATGTGCTGTTGTGCCTGATGCTCTCTAAAGCATGTTAAACAGAGTGATTACTAGCTTATAGACTCGTCCACGTCCCTGACTTACCATTTCCAGGTTGTCCTCTTGATCTGCCCTGTTCCCTCTCAGACCTCTGCCTCTCCTTTGTCTCCTTCCATTTTCACTGCGTGATTCTGAAATGGGCCAGGTCTGTTTTCTCTCTGTCCTTGAACCCATCTTGGCCTCTGCCTTGCTCCTTCTTGCCAAGTCCCTTGGTCTACCTATAGAGGGAGGACTGCCCCCCACTAAGCCTGTTCCTAGAAGCAGGTTTATTTCAGCATCTGTCCTCAGCCTGGCTCAGCAGCGACACTAGAGTTAAAGTACAAGGTAGTGTGAAATGCAGATGACTTGGGGGCTGGTGTGAATCTCTAATCCAGACCTCACAATGACTGGATGATTAATCATCTACACTGGGACACACTGGGAAAATGAAAGAGGGTACTTTTAGTAATTATGCTGGGACAACAGATGTAAACCAGGATGATTCCAGGTATAAACCTCAGCAGGGTTGGGATCACATACCCTTTGTCTCCTCCTTTTGCCCTTAGAAGCTATACTAATGAACCTTTCTACATTATGTAGCACATGCAGGGGCCCCTGGAAATTTCTTATTTTCCTCCCCTTTCCCTAGCCCACCTGTCTACCTGAATGTCTCCCAACCTTCATACTTCCTCTTGCCCGACAGTGACAGACCATACTCAAGCACAACTGGGGAGAAAAGCTCTGTTTATACAAGTGGGACTAGGGAAGAGCAGTCCAGTGGGGACTCGGCTGTGCAGTGTTCTCTTGAGAGTCCGTGCAGTCTTGGGGTCAGGTCTCCTTCCCCAGCCTCTGCCTGGGGAACCTGGAGGATTGGTCTATCCTTTCCTTGGCTCTGAGCTTTAAGGAAGTTAGTGTGGAGGGGATAATGCCTCTTAGTGTTTCTCTGCTCCAAGCCCCTCTCTGGGTTTCTGGTGGCAACCATCGTTTGAGCCAGGGTTGATGAAAGAGATTCATCCTTTGGGACTGAGGTATGGGATTGAGGCTGTGGCAAGAGGAAGGAAGTCCAGCAGAGAGTATGCGAAGAAAGGGGCAGAAAAGATACAACAGGTGGAAAAAACGAAGAAAGGGAAGAGAGAGAGAGTGAAAAATCAGGTCCTAGATTTGCTTGTTAGGAAAGGTGAGGTAATTTTGTGCTTAGGAATGCACAACCCAAAACTTGGTTTTTACCACCTCTGTTTGCCTTCTGGAGCATCCTTCCAGGTTTCTCTTACCGTCTCAAGCCAGCGCACCCACCCTTCCCAAGAAGTGCCCGCCTTAGGATTCATCCCCCTCTAGTCCTTCCCGGATGCAGATATGCACAAAGATGGAGGCTGGATGGAGGCTGGTGCCGTCCTTGGAGAGTAGGTGTATGTGGCGGTAGCCTGGAAAGGGGCAGGAGGACAGCATTAGGAAGGGAGCCGGAGCTGGACCGCTGGCCAGGGTTTGGGGGACCGGCCCACCTTGTTGCATGCAGGTCCAAGGAAGTGTGTACTGCCCAATAAAGTCGTGTCGGGTTTTCCAGTTGTAATCATTTACCACAAAACGCAGCAGGGCCAGTTCAGGCACCAGGACCCGGAAGCATAGTGTCTGCCCCCAGTATGGATTAAAACCTGAAGAGGGGGTGAAAGACGGTGGGAGTGAAGGGACAGATCATTGGCGGTTTTCTTTAAGCCCATCCTGGGCCACTGTGATTTTCAGAGCAATCAGTGTGAGGGAGTCGAGGTGAGGCAATGGAGGCCCAGAGTGGGTGAGCAATTTGCCCACACTGTTGGAGCTTATAAGTAAGGGACCAGGACTCAGACCCAAGATGTCCGAGCCCTTCTTTGTCCTGTTCTACACTGCTCCCCTTGGGGGTGGGAGAGGGGTGGTGACCGGGACTGTGCTTCATGGAGGGCAGCATGGTAGGAAAACGGCCACGTTCCTCCCCTCCCCCCAGCACTGCCCAGTCTCACCATTGTTCTCCACGTAGCTCGTCTCTTGCCGGGTCGTGTCTGGGCGGACACCGAAGATTTCAACTCTCACCAGTGGATCCACAATGGACCTCTCTTTAGTCATGTCCTCCTTGGGGAGTTGCTGACCACTGATCACCTGTAAGCAGGACTTGGAACCTCAATAGTTCCTGTTCCCAGCCCCACTCCAGCTCACTCTTACACCCAGGGGAGGGGGGCGGGGATACACAGGACCTTGCGCTACAGCTTCTGGATTTGAGTAATATATTCTCTTCTAGTAATCTACCTGCAATTTAAAATGCATCCAAGTAGAAATTTAACAAGGTTTGGAAGCAGGTATGTTAACATCAGCAACCCCTTTCCGGCATTTACTCTGCACCAGACATTGTTGTAGGCACTTTATGATAATCACAACAACCCTGTGAAGTGGGTGGTATCATACCCCCATTCTGCAGGTGAGGAGCCAGAGGTTAAGGAACCTGCCCAGAGGTACACAGCCCGTGAACGGACTTGAACCGAGGCAACTGGCTCCAAAGACCACACTGTTCACAGTTGGGCTGTGCTGCCTCGTGAGGAATTCACCCGTCACACTCCCACCGGGCCCAGCCATCTCCTCCCCCTGCTTCTATCCCAGCTACCCTAGGCTCTGCCCGACAGTTTCTCCTCTCCAAGGTACCTGGATTAGGAGGGTCTGGGCTTTGAAAGGGCTGATGGGCCTCTCTGGGTGGAAGGAACTCTGGATGTCACGCAGGAAGTCTGGCTTCAGCACATAGCCACAGCCACCGTTCTGGCGGAAGAGCCCATCACAGATGTCCATCTCCAGCCCCGCAGTCTGCACATTCATAGCCACTGAGAGCCCCAGGAGAATAGGAAGGAAGGATGTATCTCAGGAACCATCTAGGCCCTCTTTCAGGGGAGTAAGGAAATGTGTTGGGTAGAAGAGGGCCTGCTGGGAACACCCCCTTAGCATCTTTCTCAGCCTAGCACACTTCAAGCATTCCCCGGCCCTCTTGCCACCTGTGGCCCTTCCCCTCCCTCCTCCTTGTCCCTGCTGACCCCTCACCCATCTGGCAACCCGCATTCCAGAGTTCCTGGGGGTTGTAGTTGGACGAATCTGTCCTCAGGCCACTGGGATACACACGGCTTAACTGCCAGGCGTTGTGCTGCACAAACGCATTGCCTGCAAAAGGGATATAGTAGGGAGATGGCAACGGAGTGGATTCCACCACTTCCCTGGCCCCAGGTACTTCACTCTTGTGCCCAGCACCTCGCAAGGCCAGCTCCGGAAGGCTTCACCATGCCTCTCTGTTCCATCCTGACCCGTCTCTCCAGCTTCCCTCCCCCTGGAGCCATGAGCCCACTACTCATAACTCCTGTCCCTGTGCCTACTCTGAGGAGTTTCGTAGCTCCCTCGTCTCTCCTTAGTCCCTTTGTCCTCTTTCTTGGGACTCCTCTGCCTGCCCAGCAGCCTGACCCTACTCATCCCAATTCCCTCCCTGGCCCTCCCTTTCGGTCCTGACCAGCCTCTTTGATGAGGCTCTTGGCCTTGGTTTCAGAGAAAGATGATGTTTCATAGAAGCGGTAGTGCTCCCTCGAGTGAGTGAAGCTGTGGAATGAGACGGCCTTCAAGTAGACAACCAGGGCAGAGAGGGATGGACACATGATGGGTTTGGATTTCTGGAAAAGGAGAAAATAGGAAGATGAAATTGAACCCTCAGCGATCTGAGAGGAAGGGGCCGGTGGCCAGGATCTGAATTTCCCCACCCAGCCTGAGCCTCTGCCCACTGCCTCCCCATTGCATTCCCCCTCCTGCCTCACCTGCTTGGGAAAGAGAAGGGACTCAGGCTTGGAACTAGGAGCCTGAACCATAATCTGACAACAGATAGGCGTACAAAACGGCGGACACATCACAACCTGGGGATGGGAATGGGAATAAAGGCAGTCTACATACACTGATGGGACTGGTTTCAGCTTCTGGGCTTAAAGGGAATGCTCTAATGTTACTTTCTAGGCAACAGGTTTGTAATGATTTTTAAGCAGAGGGGTGTCATCCTCCCTACCTCTCATCTTTTAAAACAATAGTGAATTTTGGTCAAACCCAGACAGATATGCAAGGTATGCAAATGGGCATGGAAGTCACACCTGGAAGGATGTGAGGGTCCCAGAATAATAGCGTTACATTTGTCTCCTGAATTCCCATTTCCTTCCCTGGACATGGTAGCAGGTTAGACACCACAGCCCCAGAGAGGACAGACAGGGTAAGCCAGCAGTTAGTCAGCTAAGTCAAGGAAGTGCATGAGAAGGAAATGCAGACTTCAAACCAGGATCTTGGCGGACCCACCAATGGCACCCCTTCCCCACAGAGAGTTGGACCACCTTGGCACAGCGTTCTTGAAGCCTTCGCCTTTCCTGACTTTCTGTTCCTTCTTTTTGGTCATTTCCGGCCCCTTCTCAGAGTCACCTTTTCCAAGAAGCTTTCTCTAAGCTCATTTTAGATGAGGCCACAGGCGTCCCTCCACTAAGCCCTACTTACCCAATACAGTAGAGCGTGTTTTTGTCCTCTCTCTCTCCCTCCCTCCCTCCTTTCCTCCCTCCCTCCCTCTCCTCTCCCTGCTCTCCCTACACCAGTGGTTTTCAATCTGGCCTTTAAGAAGATTGAGAATTAGTACAAAGATGTCTCAGGAGGGGCACCCGGATGACTCGGTCAAGCATCTGACTTCAGCTCAAGTCATGATTTCTTGGTTCGTGGGGTCAAGCCTCACGTCAGGCTCTGTTCTGACGGCTCAAAGCCTTTGGATTCTGTGTCTTTCTCTTTTGCCCCTCCCCCACCTGAGCTTGCTCGCTCTCAAAAAATGAACATTAAAAAATTGTTATTTTTTTTTTAATTTTTTTTTTAACGTTTATTTGAGACAGAGAGAGACAGAGCATGAATGGGGGAGGGTCAGAGAGAGGGAGACACAGAATCCCAAACAGGCTCCAGGCTCTGAGCTGCCAGCACAGAGCCCGACGCGGGACTCAAACTCACAGACCGCGAGATCATGACCTGAGCTGAAGTCAGCCGCTCAACCAACTGAGCCACACAGACGCCCCCAAAAATTGTTATTTTAAAAAGATTCCTCAGGAGTCAGCAGGGGGACCCAGGAGAGAGCCAAATAGGTGCTCCACCTAGGACAGCTCCACATTTATCTCTTTTGTATACAGAGCACCCGTATAAGATTTCATTCAAAAAAGATTTCATGGCCCAAAGAAGTTGGAAAGCCACTGCAATCTCTCTCTCTCTCTCTCTCTCTCTCTCTCTGACCATATATAGTGATGCCATCCCTACACCTCGTTTACTGGGGGTAAGGGGCGTTTTGCTCCTTGGCTCTCCACCTTGCTTGGCTCTAGTCTCTCCACACACGAACTCAGCTTATGGTACAGACCGACCCAGTGCTAGAGCAGAAAGACCACCCTCCTGGCCCACCTTGTCCTTCTTTTTGTCCTTACTGCGGGGGCTCAGCTCCTGGGGCTCAGACTCAAACTGAGCCTCCAGCTCTGGCTTAGCCTCCTGCTCTCCCTCCAGTTGAGACTCCAGCACTTCCTCCTCTTCCTCTTCCTCGAGGTCCTCCTCAAGGGTCTGTAGCTTCTTCCCCTTCACCAGGATCTTCCTCCGAAGCTCCTGGGGGTGGAAATGAAGGGACTTGTTTACTTGTCTGCTCTGGGCCCCTCCTGGGGACCATGCAGTGCCCACTGCTCTGATGGGACCACCTCAAAGACAGGGGAAGTGGGTGGTCAAGAGTGCCCATGG